TTCACTCTGTACTTTCATTTCCTCTGGATATACAGCAAATGGTTTACATGAATTCTGCTGAATAGTCTAAGACTGCATGTACTTTTACCTTCTGTTTAAAGAGATAAATAAAAACCCCCCCGCCTAACCAACTGTGGAGCTATGAAGTACTAACACATAAAAACTGGAAACAAAATATAAGTACACACAGACTGGCACTAATGGAGAACTTCAACCTTTCTGCAGCAAGCTTCCTGTAACACTGCAAAAAATTACCTGTTACTGCTGCTGGTAACTAGATACTGATCTTTCTTTTCTTAATTTCCTTTACTCAATTAAATGAAATTATTAAATGACAGTTGACACTACACTGCCACCACACACACAGGCACTTCTATGGACACAATGTTCAGAAAATAAAACATAGAGCATAGTCCCTTAATTCAGATGAGAATACTCAGAAAATCGCAAGAAATTGAAGATGGCTTATGAAACATGGGACGGCAAGCCCTGCATACATTGGACCTGAGGACAGACTTTTACAGTACGTTTACAAAAATTCAAATCCAAAAATCTAAATTCTACTTACTGCAAGTTGTTTGGGAAGGCTTTCAGCGATACGAGTGAGTAATGTCTTTGACGGCTTCTCAGCACATAACAGAACAAGATTGACATTTCGGTCCCCACGGAGTAGCAAACCTTTAGCCAAAACGCCTACCCGTAAAACTCCTTTCAAAGCTCTGTGAATTATAGTTAGAAGTTGCATTTAAAAGAATATAAAAACCTTAATATTACTCACAGAGAGAAACGCGAAATAAAATAGGAGTATTTCACATACTTTTGGGGATAGCTACATATAATTTATCAAAATCCAAAGAGAAGAGAATCTCTGGAAGCACTGGTAACAGTGTAAGGAAAAACTTCACAAACAAATGATGAAATTCTTAACAAGTAATAGGAGAAAATACCTGTCTTTAGTGCCATCTTTTTTATCATCTCCCTCTTTGTTCTTGCTTTTTTCATGATCAGTCATGTTGTCAGAAACAAGTTTCAAAGCACGCTCAGTAATAGAAACAATTTTTTGGACTGCCTGAAGTTCCTCCTCTGTTGGATATATAGCTGCATGTTTGGTCATCACATAGCGGTCATCAGAAGAGTCAGGGCGGCGCAGAGGCTAAATAGACAAAGAAGTATATTTCTTGAATTTGGGTACATTTCCAAATTCAAAAATGGTAAGTGACCAAAAACGAAACACGGCTAAACAACAGAATATTCAAACCTCAAAACACTGAATTGTAATAAAAGATTAACTTGAACGTCCTTAACAACTTAGAGTGGTCACAATCAATCATGTCTGAAAAAACATTAAATGTATAAAAATTACACAAATTATGAAATCCTGGAATCAATATATAAATATCCACTATCTTTCTAACAACTAGGAAATACTTGCATATTGCTGCAAAATAAAGTATCCATGATTGCTGCCATAGGTTCACAGAAGAATTCAAATAGGAAGGGACCTCAGGAGATCCTCTAGTCCAACCTCCTGCGCATACCATGGTCAGCGCTAAGACCACATCATGCTGCTCATGGCTTTTACCCATTTGGTTCTCGAAAATTGCCAAAGACGAAGTCTGCACAACATTTGTGTGAAAAAAAAACATTTCCTGCATTCAGTCTGGACCTCTTTTGTCTCAGCTTAAGCTGGTTATATTTGCCTTCTCATGACTGCAAAAGAGCCTGACTCTGCTGTCTGTATAATACACAGGTACTAAAAGACTTATGTCCCACTGAAACTCTTCTCCAGGCTGGACAAGCGCAGCTCCCTCAGTCTCTCCTAACAGGGCATGCATTGCAGAACTCTGACCACCCTGGCAGCCTCATAATGAACCTGTTATGGTTTATAGTATCCTTCCTGTACTAAACACTACTGAATGTAGTATTGCAGTTTGGGTCTAATGAAAGCTAATCAACTTCCTTCATCTAGTGATAATACTCCTGTTAATAAAACCCAGGAGGCTGTTAGCCTTCACTGCTGCCAGGGCACACTGTTGACTGTTGTTTTGCAGAAGAAAACAAGCTGGGTGGAAGTGCTGATCTACTTGAGGGCAGGGAGGCTCTATTACAGGGTGACCTGCTTGCTGGACGAAGGAAAGGCTGTGGATGTTGTCTTCCTGGCCTTTACGAAGGCATTCGACACTGTTGCCCACAGTGTTGCCTAGAGAAACTGCCTGCCCTCGGCTTGGATGGGCACACGCTTCGCTGGGTGAAAAAACGGTTGGATGGCCGAGTCCAGGGAGCTGTGGTCAAGGGAGTTAAACCCAGTTGGCAGCCGGTCACAAGTGGTGTCCCCCAGGGCTCAGTGCTGGGGCCACTCCTGTTTAACATTTTCATCAATAATTTGGACGAGGGGATGGAGTGCACCCTCAGTAAGTTGGCAGATGACACCAAGCTGTGTGGAATGTTGATCTGCCTGAGGGTAGGGAGGCTCTGCTGAGGGATCTGGACAGGCTGGATCACTGGGCCAAGGCCAATTCCATGAGGCCAAATGCTGGGTCCTGCACTTCAGCCACAACAGCCCCCAGCAGCGCTACAGGCACACCCGCCCACTGCAGCGCTAGTTGCTTGGGGAGGAGTGGCTGGAGAGCTGCCAGGCAGAGAAGGACCTCAGTACCAGGGGTTATACCTTCTAAAGCACAGCATTAGGCATTTGTCCTTGCAGAATTCCATAAAATACCTGTTGGTCCATTCCTGCAGTCTGCCCAGGTGCCTTGGGATGGCAGCCTTGCCCTCAAAGGTATCAGCTGTTCTCCTGACCCCAACTGATTCAGTTTCATGGTAGCTGTAAACCTTAGTAGTGTGTACTCACTCCTTTCAGATAATTGGTAAGGTGCTAATGAGATAAATTCCAGGTGGGATTTATCTTTATGTGGTCATGCCTTCATCACCGACCTCCAGGTAAAGTATGACCCACCACTAACCACCACCCTCTACGACTGATGATCCAACCACTTTTTATCCATACATTTGTCCAAAATTAGATAAATAACATTGTATAATGCAACTAAGCAAAAAGTAGTACACAAATCCAGAGTAACTTGTAGTTCAGAAGAAACAGTATTTGTCTTTTAGGCAACCCTCTGCAATTTCAGTGGTTTTACTTTTAAAAACAGATCCATCTACACAGTTTCATTAGCATATAATTTCATCTTCACTTCTGCAAATCCCGTATTAAGAAACACTGGAGACAACTGAAGTAGCACCAAATAGTTTATGGTTCTTAACTGTGACACCTGGTAACTATGATTTCAACTCTTTCTCAAGAAACTCACAGCTGGTCCTTGGGGCTGAGGAGGCATTCCTGGTCTAACTCCCAGCAGGCCCAGAGGTCCTGGAGGACCATGAGGATATCCTCCATCTGGTATTCTGCGACGGTCATCCCAGTGATGCTGCTCTTCCTCCATTCTCCTCCAGTACATGTCCTCCTCATATCGCCTGAGATGCACAAATCAAAGTGTTCTCTTTATATAGCAGGTAATATTTGCAACCATTCTAAAACAATTCTTGCATGTCGTCACTAAATCATTTCTAGTAGTCATAAGCAAATACAAGTGAACGCCAGAGGATACCTAAAGTGAATGATTATTTTAAAAGTGTGTCTGAATTTATAGCAAAATAATTCTAATGTCTGCATTCCTCATGAGGGACTGAACATTAACAAACAAAACACCCCAGAGCGATAATGACAATTTAAAACTGTACAAAGTTCCCAAAACAAGTCAAAGTAAGTAACTACAGAAGCAGAGTTCTTTTTACATACTCTGACTGCAGCTTTGTCTCATTCATGGATAAAAAAGAATGCATTACCTCATTTCCATCCTCCAGCGTTCCTCCTCTTCTCGCCTTCTCCAGTATTCTTCCTTCTGCATCTGTTTCCTCATCTTCTCTTCTTGAATTTTTCTTGCTCGAATACTGGGCTTTACTTCTACTTGTAAGTCTGGGTTTACTTTTTTCTAGTCCAGAAAGATAATTAACAAAATATTGTTTTTCCTGTTCTCAGCTCAAGGATTACAGAGTTCTTCTGACATATTTAACACACATTACTATAAAATCAAGGGAAGTAAAATGTAGTTTTGGAACAGCACTGAATGAGTAGTTGAAGAATAAAATCTGTGTCCAGTATTTTAAAGGAAAGAAAAGTAATATATGACAAATAGCATGAACACCATCTTAATTTATTTGAGAGCAAATGACTTAGTATTTCATGTAACATTTTAATATTAAGTGATCTGCTGTTAATTCTGTAGCAGGACAATTAGTCTATAGCCTGAAAAAAACCTCACATCTTAACTACTGTTTGCTTCCTGATGTCCTGTTCCTGAAGGGTCCCTCATACAGGGGAATAATCACCAGTTACTAAATAAATTTTTTCTGTTCACTCAGAGCACCTACTTTTGTTTAGTCTTCAAATGTAAGAACGTGTTACTGGCCAAATCTGCTGGATTTTCACATAAAAGCTTTAGGATGTCTACTAACCTTATACTGAAGTCTGTGTCGCCTCCCTTTTAAGTGCATCTCCTTGGCATTAGGATCATTAAAACTGCATTCACAAAGTTTACAGTGAAAGCGGATGACCTTTCCTTCATCATTTCTTACCTGGAAAATAAAGTTATAAAACATTTGGGTTTTTTTCCTTAAAAAAAAGAACAAAGCTGATGTAAAAAATAATCTAAATCAGTGACACTGAATGTCTACTTTTCTTAAAACATGCTAAAAGTTCACACAATAACTGAAGGAAGACAAAGTAGAACTTTCAATTCTGACAGACACACCATTGTGCTGGCAATGAATAACGTTCTTTCATTCCAAAGAGTACACAGCTTTAAATGTGAGCCTTAACATACTGAGCTGAATAATTGCACGCTTGCAAATCATGAAAAATTTTACATCAGACTCTTCAAGGATTAGGGCTAGGCTGTACACTAAATAAATGATAGATGCCTTCTATCCCTGCTCCCTCTTCAAAGGGGAAGGGAAAAAGGAGTAAGGCAGAGAAACATACACACTGGAAAACTACAAACAGCGTTAATGAAACAATAAAGCTGATATTGCTGTGAGAGTCTGCTACAGACCTCCCAGCCAGAGCAGTGAGGTGGCTGAAGCATTCGTTAAGCACTTGGGAGAAATCTCAAGGTCACTTGCTGTTCTCCTTGTGGGGGACTTCAACTTCCCAGCTATCTGCTGGAAATACAACACAGCAGAGAGGCAACAATCTGGGAGGTTTCTGGAATGTGTGGAGAATAACCTGACACAGCTGGTAACTGAATTGACTGGGTAAGGCGCCCTGCTGGACCTCCTGTTTGTGAACAGAGAAGGTCTTGTGGAGGATGTGGCAGCTGGAGGCTGTCTAGGGAACAGTGACCATGAAATGATTATGTTTTCTATTCTTAGAGATCTTAGGAGGGGTAACAGCAAAACTGCCACTTTGGACTTCCAAAGGGGAGCCTTGACTTGCTTAGGATAGAAACCCTTGGGAGTCAGTTTGGAAGGTTACAGGACTCCAGGAAGGCTAGACACTTCTTAAGAAGGAAGTCTTCAAGGTACAAGAGCAGGCCAACCCCATGTGCTGTAAAACAAGCTGGCAGCATAGAAGATCGGCCTGGGTAAATAGAGACATTTGGCTGAAAATCCAAGGAAAAAAAGGAGAGTTTATGGCCTCTGGATGAGGGGGTAGGCCACTCATAACAAGTACAAGAATATTTTTAGGTTATGCAGGGAGATAATTAGGAGGACCAAAAGCCCAGCTAGAAATTAATCTGCCTTTGGAGGTAAAGGACAGCAAGAAAAGTTTCTATAAATACATTGACAACTAAATAAAAGACCAGGGAGAACCTCCTTCCCCTACTAGACCCAGGGGGAAATATGGTAACAAAAGACAAGGATAAGGCTGAAGTACTTAATGACTTTTTTGCCTCAGTCTTTAGTAATAGAAACACTTTTACTGATGAAAGCCAGTCCCCCAAGCCAAGAGATAGGGACCATGGGCAAAACGTTCCCTCCCACAATCTAGGAGGACATGGTCAGTGACTCCACATCAGTGTGCATAGATTTATGGTGTGGGATTTGGTTCATCTTAGAGTACCAAGAGAACTGCCAGGGAAGCCACTGCCCATCATTTACCAGCAGTGCTGACTAACTGGGGATGTCCCAGCTGATTGGAAGTCAGCCAAGCTAACAGCCATCTATAAGAAAGGACTGAGGGATGATCTGGGAAATCACAGGCCTGTCAGTCTGACTTCAGTGCCAGGGAAGCTGATGGAGCAGATCATCCTGAGTTCCACTGTGCAGCACATGCAGGTCAAGCAGGTGATCAGGCCCAGCCAGCAGGGGTTTGTGAAGGGCAGGTCCTGTTTCACAAACCTGATCTCCTTCTATGACTGGGTGACCCACTTGTCACCTGCTTGTTGCCCACAGCATTCTCCTAGAGAAACTGCCTGCTCTTGGCTTGGATGGGCACACGCTTCGCTGGGTGAAAAACTGGTTGGATGGCCGAGTCCAGGGAGTTGTGGTCAAGGGAGTTAAATCCAGCTGGTGGCTGGTCATGAGTGGTGTCCCCCAGGGCTCAGTGCTGGGGCCACTCCTGTTTAACATTTTCCTCAATGATCTGGATGAGGGGATGGAGTGCACCCTCAGTAAGTCTGCAGATGACACCAAGCTGAGTGGAAGTGTCAATCTGCTTGAGTGTAGGGAGGCTCTGCTGAGGGATCTGGACAG